TTAGCTTTTCTAGCATATCTTTGTAATAAAAGACTACAGACATCAATACACTGCGTTCAATAATAGAGAAAAATAGCACAGATAGTGCGGATGTTGAGTAAATAGAATGATCGCTCTATTGACGGCATGTTTGTTTTTGCAATTCTTGTGCGCGCGCTGAATTGCATCAGCAAAAGCGCGCGCGAAAACTGTGTTCGGCCACGAAACCACATTCGGTACTCGGGTGGCGTATCCTCACTAGTGGAGAAATTGATGACTTCACTGATCATGTTTGACACTTAAACTGTACTTAAATTTGTTGGTGTATGATCGAAACGTCTTCGAATCTTCCTCGAAAGTCTTCTGCAATCTTCGGTTATCTTTAGAAATCTTCGGTAATCTTCGGAAAATATTTGAAAAACGTTCGTGTGGTCTTCGGACAATTTTTGGAGAATCTTCGGAAATCTTCGGAAAGTGGTAGGAAATTGGAAAATCGTCAAAAACGTCGTTATCAGTATGTTTATATAATAAAATAATACATGGTTGCTTGTGGACTAGTGATGGAATATCTCTTCTCGATCGTGTTCAACTTTATATAGATAACGAGTTGAACACTCGAAGAGATATTCCCTATCTATGCGCGCCCATGTATTATCCTCAATATATGTATCGTCGTTATTCATCATGCTCAATCGCGTTCTATTTCATGACTGACTTGCGACCAAGAATATGTATTTTTCTTCTCAATATTTGCATCATTTGAATGCGTACGCGTTAGTATATTATGCTGTTCGTCTTGAAATCCTATCTTCTGTCTCCATGGTTACAAAAGGTAATAAGTGGATACCCCTGTCAATATATACTTTTTTGTGATATAGGGAGCACTCATACGACTCGTGTGGGCAAACACTTATTATTGGTTGCCTATTGTATTTTTTCCCTTTTCTAATCCGTCGAGTAGGAAGCGTATTATAATATACCTTAATATACCCTATTGTGCCCGTTCTCGACAAAGCCAATTAATTTATTGACTTATGTAACCAACTGATTATTGTTGTATGCATAATTAGACGAACGATGAAGACTTTCGGGTACGAAAGCAAACAAATGCATCAAGGATTGAATACATGTTTGCTTGAGACCCAGTAAATGCCGGGTACCATACATATAGACGATTAACTAAGCGCGAAGAACGCGCTGGGAGAATATCAGCGCAAGATTTTGACAAAGTTTGAAGAAAAACAAAAATTTTTACGCCTACATTATAAGTCAACTCTTTAGTAAAGGAAGCCGTTAAACTACAAGAGAACGTTAATGAGTGGTCGCCCGGGATCATTCCGGACACTGCCCTGTCCAATACTTGGAAAATATTGGGCTGGTAATAAAGGAATTTGATTAATTGATTTTAGTTATTGGCCCTATGGACTGACTTAGTCTTATTATGATACAGTTTGCCAGTCGCTTCATTATACAGAATTTGGGATAAGCTCTGGCACCTCTTTGCCACTTCGCCAGAGGCTATGTTTTAGCCTTCTTAAACTAGCACTTCTCTGAACGTATGGTTTTGGAATATCTGAATAACAGGATTTTAGGCAATCAGCAAGCCTTTGCGCTATTTTCTCTGCAAATGCAATTCTCTCCAGATGGAGCAAGTGCATGTATCACTTACTGTAGCTTTTGATGGGGACATAGCATCCATGACGGCTACAATTATATCTGCTTCTCTGCACGACTCGGTGACAACTTCGTCGCTTTTAGCATCCTCTCCAAGACCAGGTGTATCAAACAGGACAACATTAGGCGGCAGATCTTTACATAGATGCTCAGGCCAATTCACTTGGACAACGCTACGAGGGCCAATTCCCAAGTCCTTCCGATCTTTGCTATGTTTCTGGCCACTCATTTGGCTGAGGAGATCCATTATAGCCTTTTCGTCTTTTGTTTCTGATAGACACCTTGTTTCGCCTTTTTCTCCTGTTACAGTAACACTCCATTTTTCCTCTCTTGTAATGCAAACTTTAATTGAGCACATCGTTGTCTGCATGAATCCAACCGGCAGGCGACGTGATCGGAGTAAGGCGTTTATAAGGGAAGATTTGCCGCTGCTGGTAGCCCCTACGAATTTAATAAGTATTTCCTCGGACGCCACTTTTTCCTGTACTTTCTTTAATTCAAGCTGTATTTCCTTAAGGCATTTGGTTAACTCATCTAAATCTTTACACTCCTCGGGCGTTGCTAGCTCTTCACGTAGTAGCTCGCTGTATGACTCGCAAATATGTTCAGTCTTGTCAGTTTCTCCCTCTAACTTCTCTGTTAACTTCTTTACCTTTTCGGCTACTTCTGTAAAATCTTTCCACTCCATCAATGACAAAAATCTTCTTCGATATATACCTTAATTTCTCAAAGTATCGTTCTCGTACAGTAACTGCAACAACAAGAAAAATCCTTTTACTTTAGTAGTTTTAAATGAACTCAAGAAAATTCAATTACTCTGTTATAATTAACATTACAGGTTTACCCTCCTCTGTTTCAAATTAGTATACCATTTTAGTATAATTTCCAGAGGTGAATACCGTAATTTTCCGAAAGTAACGAGGGTCGTTACTTTCGGAATTAGCGGCGTTTGGGGCTCGCTACTTTCGGGGGGTCTTCACTTTCGGGAAGCAGAAAACGTTATCTATATTTGATTCGGCTGAGCAGGTTTTAAGGAATAAAAGACGGAAATTCGTAAAAACAGCCCTTTAAACAGTAGCTGAAATTCTTCGTTCTAATTTAAATTTATGCTCTTTATGTCTAGACCGTGTTAATGGTCGGTAGGAGTGAAGAAAGTTTCTATTTCAGGAACCACCGGTATATGTTAGTCTACTGTATTAATATCTTAGTGCGCTGGTCGAGTTCTCAATTTTAAGTTTAAAACGTTCGCCTTGAACTGCGCTCCTGTTCAAAATGACACAGTTTTAAATTTTAATTTGATGGAAATTTCCTGTAAGTACTATCAGTTCTGTTGCTTGATGAAAGTTTGACGGGTTTTGTTTTAAAATGGGGCAACATGAATGAATGAAGCACGAAGTGACATTTCACAATACTTCGTGGCATTAGCGACACTTTCACTTGTAGAGTACGTTTAATAAACAACTACAGTACCGTACGTAGCCTTCACTTGACTATCTATTAGAGAAACAAATACACTTTTGAGCCATTTGCTCACTACTTTCAGGGTTGGGGGTTGGGATGGGGACGGGTTCGCTACTTTGCGGGGGAGTGGGGGAAGGTGGTCGCGCGCGAGCGGAGCCCCATACCTTAGCACTTTTAGAGCTAAACGTTTGAAATTTTCTTTTGTTTTTAACCTCCAGTAAGCGACCACTTGACAGATAATAGAGCGTAAATTGAATGATAAGGTG